ATTGGATGAAGGATGGAGGAGGTGAGAGATATACCAGTTAGGAAGGCTTTTGCATAAATCCAGGTGGGAGATGGCCCATAGTGAGTGTAGTATTGTGGAAAATGCATAAGTTTGAGAATCCAGTAAGACCTGGCTCTAAAACTTAACTAGCTTTGTGACTGTTAGCAAGTAATTATTATTTTATATAACCCCCACACTTTCTTCTGCAAAACAGAGTAACTTTGCCTGTTCCCAAATGGAATACTGTAACCAACCTGCCAGATATTACATGACACACACTTAAATGCTAGCCCCTTCTTGTGCCTAACAGTAATAGCCCTCCTTCCTCCTTGCTTGTATTTCTTCTCCTTTGATGTACAACTTTGTGCTTTAAAATCTTTTTAATGTTTATTTATTTTTGACAGACAGAGAGAGAGAGAGACAGAGAGAGAGAGTGTGTGTGGAGGAGGGGCAGAGAGAGAGGGAGACACAGAATCTGAAGCAGGCTCCAGGCTCTGAGCTGTCAGCACAGCTGACAAACCACGAGATCATGACCTGAGCCAAAGTCAGACACTTAACCTACTGAGCCACCCAGGTGCCCCTACAACTTTGTGCTTTTAAATAGGATATTTTGTTACTGTTGTTGGTCCTTTTTATTCCTGGACCATGTATATGGGGAAGAGCCCTCTTTTCTCTTTCTGCCTTTGTGACTACTATAGTTCTCCCAGAGTGTTCTGGGCCATCACAAGGTTACCTCTGAAGTTGCTTCTGTGGAACACTTCATTCTGTTCTGTGTGATGTTACAACCAATGAAAACCAAGCATAGTAAAGATGAAAATCTTTGCTCCCTTCACTTTTGGAACTTTCTGGTAACTGTATTCTCCTCCTCATACCCTCGGAATGCAGCTTTGGTATTATCTTTGGCTGTCCTCGGGGCTGCTTCTTAAGCACTTGTGGAGAGACAACTTTGTATTTTTTACAGAATAGACCTTATTTTCACTCGGAGAATATTCCAAAATCCTGTCATATTTTCCTTTCTGACATCTCTAAAACTCATCTTTTCCCACTGGTCTCTAATAGCTAAAATCCTTTCCCATATTTTGGACCTCTTTTTCTTCTACTCCTTATAAGTCCCTCCATTGTGGTCTCTATTCTTGAGTTCTGTCTCTGTTAAAGCAATCTCCTTGGTACCTTCATTACAACATCTTTTTAAAATGCTCTCCCCAGTTTCTCTCCTCTGCATTAAATCTGGACTTCAGGGACTTTCACTGTCTTCACTGCCTGATTAGTTTTTCCCTGCTGGTTTCTTATATTTCTTCTTAATTTCTTAATACCTGACCTCTTTATATGTGTTCTTTTTATTTTACTCATTCACTTTTTGTTTTCTTAGGCAGTTTTCAAGCTGTCTCCTCCCTAGCCAAGGACATTTTCTTTCCTTTTTATATGCCAAACTCAGCCTCAAACAAGTCGTATCCTGAAACCCCTTTCTTATTTTTCTCATAACATTCTTCCTTATTTGCTAATGCCTCCCTCTTCATGATGATGGTCTTTTCTTTATCAGGTGATGCTGCTGCTATTTAATAGAGTGTATGTATACACTGTTTTGATATAAGCAGATCTATTACTTATTAAAGAAGGTCTCTGTTATTAATTGACTTAAGTCCATTCTCTCACTTCCATTACCACTGCTTGTTTGAGGTTGACAATTGTAGTTACCTCCCATTCAGTCTCACTGCCTCAGCTATCTCTCCCAGCTCCTCTATCCTTAATATCGTTCTCAGAATGTCTTTCTGATCTGGTGCATTTCTCTTCTAAAACAAAACAAAACAAAACAAAACAAAACAAAACAAAACAAAACAAAACAAAACAAAACAAAACAAACAAAGCTTCTGGCTTTCCCTGGCTTGTGGAATGAGATTTATCTTCCTTAGGTGTGCTTCAAAAATCTTCACACTGTGGCCCGTCCTCACCATTCCAGGCTCACCCTGTCACTTTTTGACCCCAAATCCCAAATTCCAGTCACATGGAACAGCTTAAGGATGTTTGCAATACAATTTACTATATATAGAGGTTGAGAGTGGACTGCTACATACCAAATTTAAGCTGCAGAATTCTTTGCCATTTTTTTAAAAAGTCAAAAGATTTCATGTAAAAACCTGTCTTTCTGGTTTCTCTCAGAAAATATGGCAATACTGCATCATATTCATACCTGGCAACAGAAGGGTGGAATTGAATGGTGGCCGCCCCTTTAGACGAAACATGCTTTTCTCCAATTTGCCAGTTTCTGCCACTGTGTTTTGTATCCTCAATGTTGAGGCAAAGGGTCACTTGCCATCCGCCATTGCTCTTGTGCTTTGTCTTGCCTGACAGTATTAAGACACTGTCGTTCCGCATCTCTCCACATAAATAACAGATGGGTGGATGCTATTTTGTATTTCGAAAAACATATGGGACCTACTTTACTCTTTCATCCTTGTGGCCCCTGTAGGCATCTGAATTTGGCTCTAGGACCAAGTGCCTTGCAGTAGGGTCTGGCTCCATCACTTGCTAGCTGTGTAGTTTCAGGCAACTGACTTAAGCATTCTCACTTTCACCTTAATAGTGTGTACCTCACAGCTTTTTTGTGAAGATTATGTGAGATAATCTATGTAGAGAATTTAGTAGAAAAATTGGAACATGGAAAGAATTAATAATTCTTAGCTATATCATGATCACTATTATTATTATTCTGTTTTCCCAGAATCGAATAGTGGGAATATTAGAATCATGAGGGACATGATTTTGGACAGATTCTTTTGGTGCCTACTTAGCCACACCTTTCTAGCTATCAGTTTTGTCACTTACTGGCTATGGGCCTGGTCAAGTTGTTTAACCTTACTGTACCTCCATTTTATCATCTGTAAAATGTTAACAATAACAGTATAATAATAGTATCCACTTCTTTGGTTATGATGTATCATTTGAGATAACCACATACAGTGTATCACAGCTGTCTGCCAAATAAGAAGCATGCAGTAGACCTAGCTGTGATAATAATCAGCTGCCCAGGCCTCTGTTGCCCAGGGGAAGTCACCCAATAGTTGTGAGGACCCAGAGAGCCAGGTGATCCACCTGCCTGTGATATATGGTGCCCACAGGTCTACATGGGTTTTTCAAAAATGGAAATATAATTTGCATACCATAAAATTCATTCTCTCAAAATGTATAATTGAGATTGCACAAAGTTGCAAAATCATCACAACTAATTCCAGAAAGTTTTCATCATCCCCCAGAAGAAACCCCATACCCTTTATCTGTCATTCCTCAAACCTACCCCCCCCAGCCCTTGGCAACCACTGATGTGCTTCATTTCCATGGATTTGCTGGTGTTTGTCTTCCGGGCTCTGACTTGTGCCCCAATTGTCAAGAACTGTTAGATATTTTGGCTTGAGAGGATGTCCCCAGGGCAGTGATAACAAACCATAGGGGTGATTCCAACACCTCACAGATCAGGTTCTCCCTAGATTCCTCAGGGAATCTGCCAACATTCCGGTGTCTCCCCCTGACCCACTGAACCAGACCGTTGTCCAGGAAGGGGAAATTACTATTCAGAAAGTACCCAAATACCGCTCAAGAATTGGTTGGAAGAACATGATCCTCCCGTCTAGAGCAAGGACAATGTGTTGTGCTCATGAAGACTTACTTGGGCTGGGCTGTGGGCTGGGATTTAAGAGATTTAGGCTCAGTCTTGGCCCTACCTTTCGGTCAGTCCCTATGTGACACTGGATAAGCCACTCACTTTTCACTTTGTTTCTTTGTGAAGGGAGGGATTTGGACCAGGGCAGATACCTGGGAGGCAGACATGATCACTGGTATCTGTAGGAAGCTTTTCTGCAGGTTAGACATCAGTTCTAAAAAATCCTCTTTATGTGCTCTGAGGACAGCACTGCTTTCTCAGTCTGGGCTTAACAGCTGTTCAGATTGTTTGTAATGTGGAGGCAATGTTGCTGAAGCCCACTGTTTGTGGAGTTTTGGTGGTTGGTGTGGAGCAGTGTTGAGATTCAACAAGAAGCATGGGAAGCCCCTCCGCTTTGCTTGCTCACTTGTCCCCTCTCTATTCTTCCCATATTCCAGTAATGAAGATTGCAGGTAATTTTAAATTGCAAATAGCCCACAGGGATGCTAAAGCCACCAGTTGTTAATAGTCTAGTGTGAAATACTCAAATCTAACAATTGGAAGACCTTTGGTTTAACCAGTCTTTGTCATATTAAAGACATTTGAGTGGGTAGATGATGGCACGTGCACACTGGGTTCCTGGAGCCCCAGGTCAGGGACAGAGTAAGGCAGCAAGGGAGGGAATGGAAGCCAAAGACAGTTACTGACATGGCAGTTTTGCTCAGTCCCTGAGTGGCGGCACTGTAATACATCTGCTTTAGCTTTGGGCAGAGATGCCCTAAACTAGTCATGCTTCATCTAGATCATCTTTGGGTGAGGTTTTTATCATTCTGTCTTACTTTGTTAATGACTCTGAGAATCAGTCATTTTGGTTTCCAGGAACAGACTAAGACGTGGGCGACTGTGCTTCTAACTTTTCATAGTATCTTAAATCCATTTGTCCCAGATATTATCATTTATCTCTCACTTAGGTCACAGAACCACAACTCCATTCAGGTCAGCTCTGTGAAACACTGGGAAGAAACAGCAGCTGTTTCTGGATTCCGGTGGCTCTCTTTCCTTTTTTTCTTACTATGTCCCTCCCAAGCCCCCTCATTCTACACCCTTTCTGCATGCAGATTCACTTGGATTTAATTTCAATTATAATTTTTCCTCTTTCTTTGATAAAGCAAAATAAATGAAGGAATAGAGAATCCTTAGGCATACTTTGTGTGTCCCTGTAGTCTCTGCCTCATTGTTTGGAAACCACAGACTTCATCTAGATGCCAATGAATCCATCACCGGGGTTTGTTTAAGCCATGTATTTACCAAGATCTTCCCCTGAGCAGTGGCTTAACTTTTTAATCTTTGATTTATAATTTTACAGTTGCTGAGACAGAAGGAAAACCCACTTCTTTGGAGGAGCATGACCTTTTCCTATATTGCTTCTCACTGGACTTCCTGAATCCTGGCCCCAGACACCATCATCAAGAAGACCTTATGGATGGGCTACCTATCCCCTGAGAGAAGAGGAACATCAACGGCAGTTTCTAAAGAGATTGCCTTCTTCATTTCAAGTAATGGCTGCAATCAGGGTCAGATTAAAGACAGACCAGCTGGACAACTGCTTGGAGGACCAACCTACGAGGGCACTAAAATGTCCATAGTATGCTAACACGTACTTTATATTTCCGTGGAAATATAAAGAGAGGAAAATGATACTAGCACTAATTTTAGGGAGAAGCCTGTCCTCTAGTAAAGATCTGGCAAGTAGTAGTTTGATGGAAACACTAATTTATTAGCCTACATGTCTCTGCACTCTAGGGCTTGAAAATGAAAACATAATCAGAGACTATCTTCCAGTTCTAGGATGTTAGCCCTTATTATATCTTCATTCACCTGGAGGTAAATGTTAACTAACACATTTAACTAACATAGATCAAATCAAATAGAGCTTGAACTCCCTGCCTATGGGCTGGTTGATTGGACTCTGTGTTGAGTTAATTAGATCAATGGAGACACTGGGTGGAGTTGAGATCTTTAAAAATATTTGGCTGAAGGGTGATATTACTGGGTATTTGTAGATGAGGACATCAAAAAACATTCTTAGAATCATGAAATATGGAACCGGTGGTCACATTAAAAATTTCAACTAGTAGTTAAGTACTTATTGGACACCAGAGACTTAGGTATAAGATAGACATGGTTCCTACATCAAGGAGCTCACATTCTAGATTTCTCTTAGATATAAAGAGCAGTGGCCATAGCAAACAACTGAACACAAAGGTATTCTTGAGTCCAGGATTCCATTTAACATATTAATTCCTATTGCCTTAATCAAGCCTAGTGAGCATACATTTATAAGACTTACCAGTCTGCATTCTATAAATGCTCTGTGAACCTGCCTAGATTGTTTCCCTAGCAAGCTGCGTAAAGTCCCATGGTGCCAGAGGAAGGGGGTAGGGTTAGTTAGAGATTCTGGGGAGAGAGATATCAAGTGACATGGGTCAGGAAAAATGAAGAGATAGAATTTGGGAAGCAACTATTGCTTCTGTTTCATGTGGGGAAACTGTAGTGTGAAAAATGCTAGGCTGGGAACTTTGAGACCTAGATCTTTATTCTAATACAAACAAGCTGTGTGACTGTGGGCAGTCCACTTGGGGGCTTCTTGGGCCATCCAAGACCCCTTCCAGCTCTAAAAATGTTAACCTCAGGCCCCAGTCTACTGGACAACTGGCAAATTTCTAACTCAGCTGTTCTCAAGCTGTTAGGTTAGTAGATCTGCAACAGTCACTTGATTGATTGATTTTTGGAGGAGTTTTTATCAACCTTACAGGATACAATAAATCTGCTTCTCCCCTTAGGAGTTGAGCAGGTTCTAGAAACACACCCTGTAGAGCTCAGAGAGGCTTTATTCCTTCCTTTACCCTTTATTCTCCTTCCTTTACCCTTTATTCTATCTGTGCCTCTCTCCCTCTCCTTTCCTTCATCACACTTCCTTTGAGCATATACCACATGAAATGTACCAGGTGTGTGCTAGGTTTGGAGATACAAGCTAAACTTGACATTTCCCCACACTCCCACACTCCTTTCACAGGAGAGGGTACAAAACCCTCCTTGCTATCATCTGCTGGTGTTTCTTTTAGTGAGAATCAGCCATGTCCCAGGGGAGTGTGCTGGCGGTACTGCTGGGGTAATGAGTTCTGGGCAGATGTCCCATTCTGCTCAAGCAGTTTTGAGGTGCCTTGACATATGCCCCTAGGCAATCACTTAAACCCAGGGTCCAGAAAAAAAGGAAGAGACAATCATTTACTTATTGGGATAAATCTGTAAAGGGACAGTCCTCTATACAGTGATGGCCACTGTCTGTCATACCTCTTGCAACCCTCTCTGCCCAGGTGGGGAGAATGTAGGTGATTACTGCCTAAACTTAAAAAAAAAAAAAAAAACCTCTTTAATAGATAGACATCTTTCATTATACTGTGCTTTATATTTCATTATGACCAGTGGCCTTTTTAAATATATATATTTTATATTTTTCAAGATCAGATGGCTGATAGGACTTAGAAGAGAAACAAAGAGCTTGGTAACTCACATAAGTGGAAAGTTGACCATGGAATAACCGACAGCATATTCAAATATCTTAGTGAGTGCTAGAGGAGCTGCAGCAGAAAAGGAAACATTCTGTCAACCATCTCATATTTCCAAATATCTGGATACTGGCCATTGTGAAGACAAAAACTACAGATGATGGATCTTTCCAACTCTCATCTGCATGGTCTGAAGTCTTGTAGCTCCAGCTGTTGACTCTAAGCCAATTTACATTTGTTTTCTTTAGCCCTCTTAAGAGAAAATAAAAATCTTATTTTTCCAAGCAATTAAAACTCTTCTGCTTCAGCTAGAATGAAAGAATTAGGAGTTATTTCTCCTTGTGTATAATTGCATGTTTCATTTTTGTTGTTTAATGATTGACAGAAAACTGATAAATTGAGACATCTTTGAATCAGGTTGAATGTACTCTCTTGGTGGCTCCATTGCTAATTTGTTTGACTATTTCACAGCATATTTTGCTCTGTAATGGAAAGGTTTATTAAATATGAGGGGCGCAAAGCTGTCTGAATACTAATGAACTTATTTGCCAAAATTTAAATGTTCCTTCTTATTAGGAAATGCCTGTCTCACTTAACAGGATCCAAATTGAATAATGAAGAAAATTAAACTATATTGTATCCTCAAGAGACATTGTGTGTGAACTGTAACAGAATAGTGATGGGGGAAAGGGATCACTTTTTAGAAAAAAGAGTAGATAATTTGGATCGTATAAGAAAGGATAACTCAGGGGTTCTTGGGTGGCTCAGTTGGTTAAGTGTCCAACTTTGGTTCAGGTCATGATCTCATGGTTCATGGGTTCGAGCCCTGCGTCAGTCTCTGTGCTGACAGCTCAGAGCCTGGAGCCTGTTTCAGATTCTGTGTCTCCCTCTCCCTCTGCCCCTTCCCCACTCATGCTTTCTCTCTCCCTCTTTCAAAAATAAATAAAAACATTAAAAAAATAAAAAATTTAAAAATAAATAAAAAAAGGATTAACTCAGAGAAATTCAACTTTTTTTTTGAAAGAAATATACTCACAGAAATTTAATGAGCAGGATTGCCTACTGCACAGGTGATCTATACCTTTGGCTAGTTTAGAATGAGAGTAAAGTCATAATCATACAGCAATGCATGCTAGGTTTCAATGGTTACAATTTACTAACCTTATTCCAGTGTAAGGCATTACATATACCTCATGGAATAGGAAAATCAATAAGCTTGAAAAATGAAGACAGATATCTAGAGAAGTACAATAGGGAGATAGAGTTTGAGCAATTGCCCCAATTCTTAAATTTAGCATGGTGTTATGAGGCTGCCCCTTGATTAATATATTTACTTCCATTGCCTTGGTGTTACCACTAATAAAGTTCATGATCAAGCCCTTCCCTTGCCAGCATTTGAAGGGTATTGTGGGAGCAAGATGGCTGCCCACTAGACCAGGGACACAGGCTGGGAGAACTTCAGCAGCCACACAGACTGTCGAATATGGTCAGTGACAGAATGTATGGAGGGAGATAAAGTGACAGAGGGAAAGTGAGGGAGAATGTTAAGATGAAACTGTGCAAAGATGGGAATTCATTCCTGTCAGTCACTTAAATAGGAAGGTATCCACTGGAAAAGGATGAGATAAGAAAGGACCCTAAAGAAGAGAAAATAAACGGAAGAATGAATGTTTCCAGAGTTTGCTAAAATTAATTATCCTGAGATTTCAGGAGGAGGAAAGGAATATCAAGAGAAAAAGTAGTCCCTGAAGCCTGTGAAGTCTCAAAAACAAAACATAAATAAAAACATTTTTAAAACTAAAATCATACTCTTCTAGGAAAAGAGGCTGTGCATTAACAGGAAGTTTGATGACAGCAGGGTTTGTATTTAGGGATTTACTTTCAATCTCTAAGAGAAGTTTTATGTGACATAGTTTCAAAAGACAATGTGTCTTGTGGCCGTAATTCAGGGCTTCAATTGTAAAGGGGAAAAAAAGAATGGTCGATGCATCTCAGATAAATACTAACGAACTGTGCAATATTTCATTTGAGATTTGTATTATCCCCAATTAAGTTTTAAAAAGAGAGACCTAGTGCATTTGATTGCCTCTGTGGGAAGGTTTGAGAATTATAAACTTAGATTTCTCCCTTGGAGTGAAAATTTGCTCTGAAAAATTAAGTAAATAGTCTGGGGACATTAAGATTCACCTCCACCATTTCTTTTTTTTTTTTAATTTAAAAAAAAATTTTTTTAACGTTTTTTATTTATTTTTGAGATACAGAGAGACAAAGCATGAACGGGGGAGGGTCAGAGAGAGGGAGAAAAAGAATCCGAAACAGGCTCCAGGCTCTGAGCTGTCAGCACAGAGCCCGACATGGGGCTCGAACTCACGGACTGTGAGATCATGACCTGAGCCGAAGTCGGCCGCCCAACCGACTGAGCCACCCAGGCCCCCCCATCTCCACCATTTCAAATAATGATCTGTTCCTTCAGAAAAAAAGAAGTTGGAAAGTAGGAAGCAGAGGGAAAAGAGATGACTGATGGGTGGGTGAGCAAGAAGGGTAAATGAATACTGCAAACCGAATAGACTATACAATTTGTGAGAAAATGAACAATAGAGTTTGAAGGATAAGCGGGTAATGTGGAATATGAGATAATAAGACATTTAAACATAGGAAATTACTAGGGAAAGGGAGGATGAATTAAATGGGAGATGATTGAGGGAGGCAGGAAGGTGAGGAAGGGAAGAAGTCATTGGAATGGGAAACAAAATGTGACTAATGGCTGTAAAGGGCAAGGTTGAACTCTTGATGGCATGTCCCCCAACCTTTGGAGAGCATGCACAACCTAGAAAGAAAGGAAGAAAAGATGAAAAGAGTTCATGGTTAACATAGAATCATGAGGGCAATAAAAGAAGTAATGTGTATCATCAGTCCTCAAGAACAAAAGCATTTCTAGAGAATTGTATTAGTCTATCTTGTCCATTCATCTATGGACAGAATCGTCTTCATCTACCTTTTGCAAAAGGTTGAATTATAAAATTAATGCCATTAAAGGAAAGAAAAGCATTATTAGGAGAAGTTGAAGAAAATATTACATCCAGAACAACTGAAGTGGTGACTAAGTGAGCAACCTGTTCACAGCCTTTTATAACAATTTTTAAAATTCAGCCACTTAATGAAAGAGCTGGAGATAATGTACCCAAATAGAAATGTGGGCAGCGATGAGGGAGGAAGTTTTAACTGTTGTAAATATTTTATAATACATTCTTCCACAACATTCTTTTTTTCCCTCATAAAAATGAGTGAGATTAAGTAGAAATCTTCTGGGTATTGCTTTAAACACTGGATGAGAGGATTTATAGCAATGCAAATATTCCCAATAGTAGAAATAACATTAATTTTTCAAGAAGATTAATATCTGGAGGAGATCTAAATGCCTGTGATTATCCTTTTGCTTTCTTGTGTTTGTGCAGGGGATTCCTTTCAGCCAGACAGTACCAGACCCCCTTCGGAGGGAAGCTGATAAAGTAATTTAGGTGGAAAGGCCTAATGAGATAATGATGCTAAGGCCAGTTAACACCTAATAAGAACATAACCACCAGGGATGATATTGTTGCTTATTAATTATAATGATGATGTGGAGGAAAGAGACAAGGTGGCACTCATTTAGCAGAGAGCACTCAGGAGTAAAGCTGTTTTCCCAAAGGGCAAGATGCAGTCAGTTAGAGTTAGAAGTAGGCAACATTTAGCAGGGTCTGAAATTTATGGCCATTGGGTTATCCTGGCAACTGCAGAACCGGAGGCCGAGTAGGAGGTAATAGATGCCTTCCTGAGGTGGCCCCAGGCTGGAGATGGGACTTCTGTGGTTGCAGGGCCAGGCCATGTGTGTAGGCAGAGACTCCAAGCTGATTTTGGGGGGCAGTCTGCTTGCCTTAGATTCCACAGTGGTCATTTGTGGGCAGACAGGCAGGTGTCCAGAACTGGACTGAGGCTGCTTTCCATTCTGGACCTTCTCCTCCACTCCACTCAGTACTGTGAATCGGACCCATAGTGCAGCCCTTCAATCAGTGCTGGAGCCCTGCCCTGTCGAGGGAGCCCAGAAAATCTGCTGGTCCTGTTTTTAGAGGCACAGATCTAACTTCCATCTGCTGATTTGAATTCAAGGTTTCTGGGTATTAGTCACTGCCTCCACTCTGCTTCCTAAATTCTCTGTGGGTCTGGGCACCTCCATGTTCACCCACGGCAGGGGAATTGTAGTATCAGTTCATTGCAGATACACTAATATCTGTATTAATCACCCAGCAGGAGTCAAGAATGGGAGGAACAAAAGAGCCATGTGAAAAACCATGGGGCTTTTGGAAATCCTGTGAATCCTTAAGGGAGGCATAGAAACTTGAAATCCAGGATCAAGCTGGGGAAACAGATTTGTCACCCAGGAAAGAACCTGAAATTCTCTTTCTTATTCACTGTCTTTCCCCTCATAACATGGGTCTCCATCTGGATCCTAAACCCTATGCTATCACTCACTTCTTTCTGGGTCTGTGGATACCACATTTGCAGTGATGGCAGTGGTTTTCCACACCTTTCTGTGCTATTAATTTTATTAGCTGGATGAGTGCCATTTCACAGGATTTTTCTTGCTGTATGTGATGATGTCATTGACTCTGCCATAGAAAGGAAATAACATCTCATCATTAACTTTTAAAAGCAAGTATATTTTATTTTTATTAAATGTGTGGTCTGAGAGTGGCAAGAAGTAAAAAGCACTGAACTGGAAGACAGAAGGTACACCTCTAGTCCTGATCCTTATACATATACATATGTATCCTGTAAACTTGGATAAATCTCTTGCTTTTGTGAGCCTCAGCTTCCCTGTAAGGGTAATCTTTATATATATAGTTTTATAGCCACATCCAGCCTTTAAATTCTATATATATGCATATATGTTCATAAGAATCCTACACCTATTAAATCTTTATGAGAGAAGTAATTGGTAAACCCATAGGATGATAAATATTGCCTTAAATCCATGGTTCCGAGTGAACAATAAAGGTCGGGTGTTAGCAATAAACCAATGGCAGAACTATTTATTGAGCATTAACCATGTGGCAACCACATGCCAATCTTAAAGGCAGGCCCTTTACAGGTGAGCAAACCAATGGGTTCAAAAAGTGAAATAAGTCATTCAAGATCATATAGTTAATAAGGGGGTGGAGCCAAAATTCAAACCGAAGTCACCCTGAAACTGAAACCCTTGACCTTAATCACCACTTGTATGTATCTCTCTCTATTTAGAACCCAATACTTATGTTGCATACCTGATGGCACTGAAGTTTTTTCAGTCACAACTGTTCTTAACTGGTGATGGAAGGAGGAAGTGAGGCAGGGAATGGTATGAAAAATGTCCCCAGTTGATTCTGATGCATACATCTTTCTGCCTCTAAATCTGCCTTGAGACCTCACTTGAACAGTCATAATACCATAATTACATAAACAGCACCTTACTCTAAAAGTTCCTGCCATGAACAGTTCTCATTTTTGCTCCTTTCAACATGGTTTTGAGGTAGGCAAGGGAGTCAGACACAATTATTTCTCCTGTGTTCCAAGTGGGAAATTGAAGCAAAGAGAATTGATTAATGCAATTTCATGCACTCAGTGGTCACA